AAGATCTTTTTAATCTACTATTTTAGGAAGTCTTTGTAGTTCTGTCATCTAGTTTTGTGTAGCTTTGTCATCTCGTTTCATCTGCTATATACCTAATATGAACTAATTCTATAAATATTAGTGAGACAGCAATATACTCATCTAATAACTGGCTTATTTGTGTGTCTGTAAAAATTTAATCGAATTTCTGGAAAAGAAAAAGGGAATTCCAGTGGAGAATGTCAGCCAGGAACGACTAAGTTCAATTATGAATTCTGAGCTCTTTGAGGGTGACATCTTGGGTATCGATATGGCAACAATAATATCACAATGGATTTTAAAAGACGAACCACTGGATCCATACGATAACGTGTTTAATCTCTCTGTATGTTTCATTCATATCAATGAATGATTGATTATATCTGATAATGAAATTTTGTCTGAAGGTTCAAACTTCATTGTTTTTGCAGTATCATAACGCATTAAATTTGGCACTATATAAGGCTAGGCTATGGACAGATGGAAGAGTACCATATGTATTGGAAGATGGAATGACTGAAAGGTTTGTCTTCGAAATTATTTTAGAGAAAAGGAAAATTTTAATACTAGCAACTCAAAATTTTAAATACAGAAAAAACCGCACAAATGCAATTTCATATTATTGAAAATGGTATATTTCGAAATCATTCAATGACTCTAAAGAATGCTTTAAAACTATTCCTTTTAGGTTTCATTTTATCATTTTATCCCTCCATCTATGAAATTTTTCTGTAACAGTAAACTAGAAAAACACAATAGATTTGCAGGGAAAGGGTAGTCATTGCGCAAGCATTCAGTGATTACCACGAAAAAACCTGCATAAAATTTGTACCAAAAACTGATAGTGATATCGATTATATCTTTATCAGAAGGAGTGTACCCTCCAGGTTGTTTTCATCATTTTTTCATTAAATATCATTGATTGATTAACACATAATTTTGTATATTTTTTCCATCTGTTGACTTAATTATTTGTTAGTTTTACTTGGAATATGAGCAATTTTTTGGAAGTATTCGAGTAATTATACTTAACGAAGATTTCCAGTACCTGTGCTAGTATCAGTTACTTTTAAATTAGAATTAATCTAAATTAATTTAGTTGTTCGTCATTTGTTGGACGAGCTGGCGGCAAACAGAATGTACTGTTAGCAGCTGGAAAATGTTATATAAAGGGAGTCATTGTGCATGAGTTGATGCATGCGATTGGGTTTCTTCACGAGCATTCACGTACCGAACGCGATGAATATATAAATATCATAATGGAAAACATTATACCCGGTACTCGATACACTTAAGCTTGGAACTCTCTCTTCCTTCTTAATCAGTGTTAAGTTTAACTGGATTATTATGAAAGCAATCAATGTAAACATATTTGAGACTCAATTTTTCCAATTTAAAAGAGATCGGATGAAAAATTCATAGCCGCCTTTTCTTACCATAATTTCCCTAACTGACCAAGCTAATCCCTCAGAAATATTTTAAAAATAAAATTTAATCTTCGTCAAATTCTAGGGAAGCAATCGAACTTTGACAAATATCCCGGAAAAGTTATTAATTCGTTGGGAATGCCTTACGATTATAATTCGGTGATGCACTATCCCGAATATGCATTTTCCCGTAATGGAAAACCAACTATTGTACCTAAAGTTTGTAATTTATTTTTCTCTGCTAGGAAATTTATTATAATGTAAGATAATAACAGTTGGTAAAGGTTGACACATACATACTCCGAAAAGCTTCAAATAAGCTTTAAAAGCCCTGCTATCTGTTAGTCTCTGCGGCTGAGTATTCTGAATTATTTTATTTTCAAGCAATAGATGGAATTAAATAGAAAAGTTCAATGGCTGGCATTGCTCGATTCTTTTGAATGTTGAAATAATTATTACGCCAATGTATAATTTTGTTATCATTCAAATTTTATATCCTTTTTCAAAATCATTTCCCAAAGATTTATTTCTAAGCAAATTACATATTTGTACTACCACCAAGCAGTATATGCTAAGAATTCAGGATCGAAAGGCGGAAATTGGACAACGATACGGGCTGAGCGCTATCGATGTCAAAAAGATAAACAAGCTTTATAAATGCGACAAAAGATCAATGGCACGAATAACATCAACTCCTACTACAATGACCGATGAAACCACTTTTGTCCCAAGTGGTATAACAATACATCCATTTTATCCATATCTGAACTAAAAGACCATTAATCACGGGAAAATCCAGAGCTATTAGTATTACCGTAAAAGCGTAAAGCGACGGTGATCACAGGCATTTTCAGTACCAACAAATTGATGTCACTTCAAATTTCCAAAATTTTGATTCGAAATACTTTTGATTGCATTTTTTCATTGAATATCACCTGAAATTTGATAGATTTATTAAAATTTTTCTTCTGAACGTTTAAATATGATAATACTAACAGAATAATCATCACTAATTATAATGACAAAAAAATGCCTTTGTCACTTAACTTTTTCATGATGACTTCATCAATTTCTCATTAACATTTGTCATCAAATAACAACTCCTACCCTTTACTCTTTTTAATTTCATTTTCCTCTTCTCTCAAAATTACTTGGCAAAAAGCATTTCTTCACTTCCTTAAGCATTGATTTTTTTAAAATGTGGAATTATTGTCCTTTTTCAAATTGCAGATTGCAAAAATCTGTATACATATTGCGAAAGATGGGCAAAAAAAGGCTATTGTCAAAGATCGCCAAAATACGTGGGTCTATACTGCAAAAAAAGCATGCGGGCTGTGTCATTACAGAGCATGTTAGTATTGAATTTATCTACGATGCAAAAGCAAT